AAGATTCCATTAATCCAGACCTTGGAAGCTTTCCATGTACAGACAATTCTTGACCTGCAATGGTTCAACTTATGATTTTTTAACTTTACAATGGTTTGACAGTGATATGCATTCAGTAGAAAAACTTTGAATTTTGATCTTTTCCCAGGCTAACTATCTGTAATGATGCTGGGCAGCGGCAGTGAGCCACAGCTCCCAGTCAACCGTGCAGTCACAAGGCTGAACAACCAATGCACTTACAACCATTCTGCTTTTCACTTTCAGTGCAGTATTCAATAGATTACATGAGATATCCAACACCTTATTATAAAATAGGCTTGGTGTTAGATGATTTTGCCCAACTGTAAACTAACGTAAGTGTTCTGAGCACGTTTAAGGTAGGCTACGCTTAGCTATGATATTCATTAGGTTAGGTGTTTCGACTTAATGATATTTTCAGCCATCGATGGGTTTATCCAGGTGTAACCCCATCGAAAGTCCAAGGAAGGGCAGGGCTGTATTTTGATACATCCAGGTGCATATACACATGTTGATTTTTATCTGCTCTTCAGGCCTTTGCACATGCTGTCCTCTCTTACTAAAATGCTGTTCTCCCACCCCTACCCCATCATGTGATACTCTTCAGCCATTGGAAGTTCTCCTTTTCTCTACCCCCTCAATAGGGAGCCCTCTAAGCGGAAGTGCTTCATCCATTCTGGTTGGAGGCCACCATCAGAGCTTGGCACAGAGGCAACCTGAGAAATGCTTGTCGACTGACTACTTGACGGACAGAACAACTGAATGAGTTTTCAGGGATATAGACCCTACCTCCCGCAGGCTCTCCAGTCAGGCTGCCCCCTGCTCCAAACTTTCCACTCACCTCCATCTCTTCCTCCACCAAAATCTATCAGTCCTATGTCACATTCCCTTAGGGCCAGCACCTTGGCACTGAACTGAATCCAATCATAGTTTAGAGACTCCTGCGGTAAGTCATGTGGCAATTCCAGGGGTGGAGCCAAGCAGGGAAGAGGGAAAGTCTGGGAAACGCCCAGTGTTCCCATTCACAGTGAGTGCACCAGCCACCCAGAAAAGTTAACTTCTCCATGGTGAGAGGAGAAATCATGAGCACCTTCAACTAGACTCCCAGCCTTAAGGGGAAGAAACTAAGGACATACAAAGCAACACTGGACCCTGACATCTTGTTAGGTTCATTGGTATAGGTAGGAGGCAGCAAAGTGTGGTGATTGTTATGGGATGAATTGTGCCCCCCACCATTCATATGTTGATATCTTAATCACTACTACTCAGACTGTGTTTGGAGATAGGGCCTTTAAAGAGGTAATTAAGGTTAAGTGAGGGCACATAGGTGGGCCTTAATCCAATATGACAGGTGTTCTTAAAAGAAGAGGGGATTTGGATGTACACAGAGACTGAGGGGTGACCATGGGAGGACACAGCGAGAAGGCAGCCATCTGCAAGCCAAGGAGAGACGCCTCAAAAGAAACCAAACCTACAGACACCTTGATCTTGGACTTCTAGCCTCCAGAATTGTGAGAAAATAAATGTCTGTCGTTTAAGCCACCCGGTTCATGGTATTTTGTTATGGAGGCCCTAGCAAACAAATACAGTGGATAAGATCAAAGATTCTGGAGCAAGGGTCTGAATTCCAATCCGGGATCCATCACTTAGCAAAATCATCTTAAGCAAGTTACTTTGTTTCTCTGCCTTAGTTCCCATCAGTTAAGTGGGCATAATTATAGTACCTACCTCATACGGTTGCTATGAGAATGAAATGGTTAATAAAGCACTTAGGAAACAACTCCTGACATACTATTAATAATCTGTAGGTGCTCATTAAATAAATAAATTCAATTTCACTGGGCAAAGGTGAAGAAATAGGCCAAACCCTGAGGAACTCAGAGTTATGTACCATTAAAAAGGGTCACTAGGGGACTTCCCTGGCGGTCCAGTGGTTAAGACTCCATGCTTCCAATGCCAGGGGTGTGGGTTCAATCCCTGGTCAGGGAACTAAGATCCCACATGCCGTGAGGTGCAGCCGAAAAAGTATTTAAAAAAAGTGGGGAGGGGGCACCAGGCAATGGTAAGTGTTCCTATATGGTGACTCTTTACCCCGGGCTCCCTGAGGGCAGAAATTTACCCCCAGGCTCCCTGAGGGCAGAAATTTCTTAATATCTGTGAGAAAGGGCTTAGCAAAAGAGCGCCCTCAGGAAGTACTTGCTGAACCAAATAGTTTCCAAACACCCTTTCCTAATGCTGGGCCATGTATCAGGGATTGGTGACTGATTCTTCATGGGAGTATCAGGTGATGTTCCTGGAAGTTCTGTTTGGTTCCTTTTCAAATTTTCCATGTTTAAAAAAAAATAATTTTCTGTTTTCTGTAGCTATTTTCTAACTTTAAATCTTTTTTTTTTTTTTTTTTTTTTGTGGGACTAGAAATAAAGTGGTTCTAAAACTGCAGTACTTTACGAGGGGCTGCGTTAAATCAGAATTGCCATTTAAAGCTCTGATCAGATGTTAATAGCGATTAGCACCGTTTCTGTAACCATGTTTCTCTCTTCCTACAGAATCTGGGATATGGTGATAAAAGCCTTAGCATTTTGCCAGCACTTGACAATTATGAGGCCAGAACCTGGGTTGCGGTACGCGGGCCTCTCACTGTCGTGGCCTCTCCGGTTGCAGAGCACAGGCTCCGGACGCGCAGGCCCAGCGGCCATGGCTCACAGGCCCAGCCACTCCGCGGCATGTGGGATCCTCCCGGACCGGGGCCCGAACCCGTGTTCCCTGCAACGGCAGGCGGACTCTCAATCACTGCGCCACGAGGGAAGCCCTAACTTTAAATCTTGTATGCACAATTTTTTAAAACCTGTGGCTGTGAATTACAGTACCTGAAGTCTGTGTTTATCTGTTCCTCCCATCTGTTGTATCTATTTTTTCTTCATGAAGGAACCCTTCTTGGGTTCCTAGTTATCTCTGACTGTGTGCTGGTTTCACCTTGAAAAATTACTTGTGGTGGTTCCCTGAAGGCAAAGATATTGATAAATGTGCCCTCTTCAGAGAGACTTTGCATTTGCTTTTGTCAAAGGTTTGGGGGCACTTCCAGTCACTTCCAATGATAACTAGGGGCAATCCAGTTGTTACTTCAAACTAGGTTCCCAGTTTATGGCTTGAGAATTCTTGGGCTACTGGGCTCTACTCCCTAGAGCACAAAAGGACTCATCAATGGTCACAACTCCCTAAGAAAGGGCTTTAAAATATTCCCCTTTCCTTTTCCTTCAACTGTTCTGCTCAGTATCAAGGCAACCTTTTCTGAACTCCCTTGGGGCTCATGGTGTGGAGTGTGCAGCTTCATATCACATTAAACTCAAGGGTGAGACCCTTGGGGTCTCAGCCTAATGTGAGGAGATTCTTCTATTAGACTCCCCACCTTGGACAGGCCCTGGACTTTCACTTCTCTCCCTCTTGCCCTATGTGGTTGATGAACTGAAACCCATGGGTTCAATATTAGCAAAAGCCCTCATGTCATAAGTAGCTTTCGTGCTCCAATATTCCAATCTTGTTAAATATCTGGTTACCAGCTTTCACCTAATAATTGGACTGAGCATTCCCCAGGCTTTTAAGCATTTCAGTGTTTTTCAGAGGATATTGTTATATTTTACCTAAAGTTGCTATTTTCAGAGGGAAGATTAACTGAATAAATTAGTCCACCATTACCCCCCAAAAAAGAAAATCCAGTTGTAATGATAAAATAGGCCCAGCATAATTCCTCCTCACTGACCTCTGACACTGACCCAGGCAATAATGTCACAGTTAAATACCAGATGGCCCATGTACCAGGGGACACCCTCACAAATCACAGCCACCACTCAGTGTGTAACTGTCATCCAGTAACAACTCCACACAGTGACATCATACATAAATGTCACCCCTCAGTGTTCTGGGAGATAGCCCAGAACTATATTGCTCAACAAGCCTATGTTGGGCACCTGCCATGTGCTGAGTACTGGAGTTACAGCAGAAAACAAGACAAGGTTTCTGCCCTCATGGAATTTACCATCTGGTAGGGGCAGTGGACAATGAACATGTAGCAAAAAAATAATTTCAAAGACTGTAAAGTTCTATGAAGAAAATAAAAGAGGGTAATGAGTCAGAGTGGGCAGTACTACTTTAGATGGGATATCTGGGAAGACCTCTCTGAGGAGGTGGCATTTCAGCTGAAACCTGAAGGTTGAGAAGGAGCCAGCTATGGGAAGAACTTGGGGTGACGCGTACTAGGCAGGGAACTAGAAGTGCAAAGGCGCTGAGGCAGGAGCGTCACGCTCGAGGAACAGCAAGGAGGCTAGTTTTGCTGGAGAGGAGTGACCTAGGAGGCAAGTGACGGGAGGAGGGGAGAGTGGGGGAGTGAGGTTAGAGAGGGAATCAGGGGCCAGATCATACAGAGTCTTCTCTTGGCGGGCCGTGGGAAGGAGTTTGATTTTTAAGAATAAATGGAAACCCAAAGGGTGCCAAGTCCTTTATGGTCTGAGAAGATCGCTATGATCAATGTTAACCAATCAGAACTGTCATGTGTAAAGATAAGGCCTGGCTCCCCGCAGTGCCACCATCCCAACTCTCGGGAGGGAGGCTCCTCTTTCAGGAAACTTCCTTCCAAGCTCACAGGTGACACACCTCTCTCCAAGCCCGAGACAAACATACTTTCTGATTGGACAAATCCAGGAGCATGTTTCTAACCTTCTTCAGGCCGAATCGGGCGGAGCCCACTGTGACTGATTACAAGCTCTCCCTCTCTTCCAATCAGACCAGCTATTCGGGAGTGTGCTTGCGTCCCATTCCCCTGGTGAGATGAGTGAGTCCTGTGATTGGCTCTCCTTGTATGAGTGACAGCAGACGCATCTTATGGGCGCAAAGACGCGGCTGCGCTGCCCGGCACTGTCCGGCGTTTGAGGGTTGTGCTGGAGGAACCCGGAGCTGTCAGGGCTGGCGTCCTGCTCGGTCCTCGCCACCCCGCGCGCCGCCCGCGCTATGGCCGCCCCGCCGCAGCTGCGGACTCTGCTCCTTGCGATCAACGCACTGTTGCGCAAGCGCCGCTACCACGCAGCGTTGTCCATGCTTAAGGGCTTCCGGAACGGGGCTGTGTAAGTCGGGCGGTGGGGCGGGGCAGGGGCTGAGAGATCGATCTGATGGGGTCGGAGAAGCGGGTTCCAGGGCCGGCGCCACCGCGCTGTGCGCCCCTGAGCAGCCCTAGTGTGTCCCTAGGTCTCTCGGTGTCCAGTATCGGCGCAGTGGGCGCTGGATTTTGGGTTCCGAGCGCCTTCTGAGCCGGGGCTCCCACTGCGCTGTTTCTGGGTCTTCCGTGCTTTGCAACCTGGACCTCTTGCCTTGACTGCCTCCCATGCAGCCCCTGTCTCCCTTCATTTGGGCCCAGTTTCCCCTCTCCCGCCGCTGTGTGCCCTTGGGTCTAATGGTAAGCTGGACTCTGGCCTCTAGCCAGCCGGCGGCCCTGCCTCTCTGTGCTCCCTCCATTAAGCTGCGCGTGGGCTTTCATCCCGCTTCTCAGTTCTCTTTTGTAAGTCCTTTCTGGCACAGGGGACTCCTGATAAGCCTCAGTCGTGATGTAAATGAAGCTGCAAATATTTGCTGAGCAAATTGAAGACCTGCAGAAGAGGTCTTGGGGTCATTTCCCCTGGCTGGTGCCAGGACGGGAGCTCAGCTTCCTTTAAACTTCATGCATAACAGCTTTCATTTATTGAGAGCCTACTGTGCCAGAACTGGGGACGCATCAGAGAACAAACGGAAGATCTGCGTGCTCTTGAAGCTGGCATTTTAGTGGCAGCATGGCATGGTTGTGTGGATGTGACCACCTTGGTTTGAATCCTGGTGCCCCTTACCTGCGTGATCTTGAGCAAGTCTTTTAGCCTCTCTAAGCCTCAATTTCTATAAAATGGGGCTGATAATAGTACTTATACTGTCAGAGGCTTGAGTCAGTATGTGTGAAATGCTTAGCACAGTGCCTGGGATGTATATAACTGTTGGCTGCTGTAATTATTGTTCTATTCACATGGATGTCTGACTGGCTCACTCCTTCACCTTGTTCAGGCCTCTGATTGTCACCTCCTCAATGAAGCCATCCCTGAACGTCCCACCTCTTTCCC